ACAAATTGTGGAAGCCCATTGATTACGTGCTCCGTGGTATTGCAGTATAGAGCGTTCAGCTGTAGCACCCTTTCGGTGCCTAGCTGCCACGCCACCCAAAGGAAGCACGAGGGCTGGGATGCTGCCAGGTTGCCCAAGCCTAGACAGGGGAAGTCGAGTGGCGGAGGTCGGATTCGAACCACGAACCGGTCAATAAATTCGCGCTCTAACCACTTGGGCCATCTTGCAGTGTAGCGATTCGGGTGGTGCGTAGGGAAACGCATAAACATAATGCCCCCAACGGCGTACCAGCCGCGAACTCTAATTGATCACACTGGCTGACCTATATCAAGCATTCTTATGTGCCTACACTTCCGAGCGCTCAACCACTCTGGAAAGAAAAATTTGATAGCACGAACACTGACATCGGTCAGCGCTATTTCTTACAATAACCTAGCACAGCCAGGGTCATAGGGACCCCATCCTAGTAATCCTATAACACCCTGACTCTTAGTGATCTCTTTCACACCCTTATGTCAAGCCACACTTTGTCCACCTCGCTGTTCGCACCATTTTGAAGGTTGCACGGAGAGCAGCACTCGCCTCGACAGACGGTGTTTCGGCATTCGCAGCACATGACCGAGTCATCTTAGTGGGTGGTGTTGGATGTTTCTCCCGATCACAGTGTCTGCTGTGCAACCAAATACCTGTTTTGTAATCGCCTCGTTACTAGTCCGCTGACGCCATTCAAAACCAGCAACGCTTCTGAGGCATCGGTGGTCAGAAACCTGAAGACGTCTCATATCATCAGTCCGCAGAGGGACGTCTCGCACCCATACAACAACACAACCCTTACTGTAGTCTGGTATATACGGCCATTACGATCTAGCGATATGAATTTTTGACGGCTTATGCGGCGCAAGTGAGCATAGCATACGTGATTTGAACCTATGAGATTCTTGCACTGACTTCATCAAATACATTTCCGCCAGAGCTAATACAACTATCGAGGTATGTAAAATTTTCTACAAGCTTCAGTGATTCTCAATGAGTTGTAAAGGACATGTTTAGAGACTGCATGTTCTGAAGTATGACTTGGCACTTTGAAGGTGAAAGGCGCATGCCAAAGGATGGTTTTGTGGTGGTCAGTTTATGAGTAGCGCTTTGGATATCTGTTTCCAGTGGGCTCTTATATCCGACATCAAACCTTCCGGTAGGCGTTCGAGGAGCTGGATCTGATACTTCCGTTTGATTCCCGGGTGCACTGGCTTCTCAGTGGCCAAGCGGGGTGCGCGCGTTTTGCTTAGACCTGAAAAGCGTAATGAAAAGCAGCAGCGTACAAGTGCATGGTCGGAGTTCATCCTGGTGTTTCTGGAGGATTGGGAGGCGGTGATCGATCCTTCTCACTGATAGCTGATAGCGAGATGGCTCAGGGCGCCAATTTACTGACCGGGTGGTCCGTGGTTCGAACCCGACCTCTATCCGTGTCCACTGTAGAACTGCACCTAGAGGGTCATAGTCCTTGGTCAGCGCTTGACTGATCTGTTAGCGTGCATTTGGGAAAACCAGACTTCCCTAGACAATTGGGAAGAATCGATGACAATGCCGATTTCGAGAAAAGGGGCTCGTAATGATTGCGGACACCACAGAGTGGTCATATTAATTCTGGTTGTTTCGAGATTGTTTGCATTATTTGTGAACCTTCGTTTCATAGTGACTGCTGAAACACTGACTCAAGAGCGGCAAGCTGCACTCTGGCCTAGTGTGGGTTATGTTGACTAAATCTTCGCACAATGTCGGGTGATAGAACAACGCTCTACGTAGAAACGACCCACAGTATTAGTATTCATGGAACTCCAAGGCACATTCACCTCGGTTGACCTGTCTGTTCTTCACACGCTTGCTCATCAAAGAAATGTTCCCGAAGTTTGTGGGCATAATATGTTCTTTGTATTATCAGACGGGATTGTATTCACACCGGATCAGCAATTCTGAAGTATTTCGAATGGTATTCGGGAGAATTAACCCGCCCTCGATAGATGAGCTGATCACACTGCATAGGTTGCGCTGGCTTGGCCACGTGCTGTGTATGCCAGTCGACCTACTTCCTCGAAGGGCTCTTTTTGCACAACCACGTGAGGGGTGAGAGAGCCAGAGGCGGTCAAAAATGACTTGGCAGCGAAGTATGAAAGCCATTACCAGCAAACTCAGCTGCGTTGGTCATTGTCGTCTTCCTGGATAGGGACCCCGAAACGGGCCACATCAATGACTAGAAACATTGTCAGACATGACCCAGTCGCGCCCTCAATGGCGCTCGTCCATCCAAGCAATTGCCTTCAATGCATAGCTCCTTTTCCAACCCCAACCCTTACTTGACAGCCCACTGACAGTGGTGGATTTATGCACCAATTTATCATCTCCCGTCTGCAATGCACAGCTACCTACCCCCCCCCAAATCATTGATGAACGAAACTACGGCAGCCGCAACCCCCGTACGACGAGGAAGCGGCGGTTATTACAGTTGATATTGATGATGCTGATGTATTCCCAGACTTCCGAGCATGTGTGAATATGTGGAGAACTCTCCAAAAGCTTCCGTACACAAAGCAGTGTCCGTCAGGGATGTACACCTTCTCTATCCCTATTTCATGTTCAATGAAATCATGATACAAATGCTGAAAGATCTTCAGAACCATGGTGTTCAAATGGCCTCTGATGAAAACCTTGTCGGTCTTAGGTATGCAGACGAATCGTACTCGTTTTCCAACAGGACGAGGTAGCGCAGATGTTTTGGATGAACTGTTCAAAATCATCCCGTCCTTTGGTATACACTTTGCATCCACAAAGTGTAAGGTCTTTGGACATGCAGCCACTTGCAATCTAGGGAGAGGCACTCGAATGTTGTCATGTTGTCGATGATGGTGATGTCTCACCCCGCCTCTGGTGATGACTTGCATTAGTTTTTCGTTGAGGTGTGTAGCTGAAACACTTTTGTGCCCGCCGTTTCGTTGCACATTATTGCTGTTATCTGGTGTCCATGCAGCGCGAGTAATAGACAATTGCGTTGGGAGCAACCTGGCTCGTCGGGCGTTACATCAGAGCCATTCATGTAAATAAACCGATTGTCTTGGTTAGGTCGTGTTTTACGTATGTCACCACCACCCCTGTCCACCACACCATGGCATTTAGTCTGTACGGGTGTATGTGAACGAAAATTACACCATCCTCCGTCGCTCAAAAAGCCTGACTATTTTTTACTGAACAGCCTCTTTTAGTTTCTTTTTTACCACCCCTCCGTTTAGAGAGTTATGAAGGCGACCGACCAGTGATTAGGGACTTGTGGCTATGAATACCCCGAGCCGGGTCTCTCATTATCATCATCATTGTCAGCTGTAATAACCGCCTACTTATTTTACAGTTTCGCTCACCGATGATTCGGGGAGGTGGGGTAGGTAGCTGTGCATTGGAGGCTGGAGCTGATAAATTAGTGCTTAAATGCAGCACTGTACATGGACTTTTAAGTGGGGGGTTGGGAAGGGAGCTATGGATTGAAGGCAACAGCTTGGATGCATGAGCGCCATTGAGGGCGCGACTGGACCTTGTCTGACAATGTCTATAACCATTGATGTGACCCGCCTCGGGGTCCCCATCCAGAAAGACGGCAATAACCAGCGCAGCTGATTCAGTGCATTTTGCTTGACGAGTGAGCCCCGATAGCTCTCGATAGAAAGTCCCGATAGCTTAGATAGAAAGTATCCCCCCCCGCCTCAAAACTGCGATCCGTTGGGGCATAAGCTGACACTACAAACAGGCACCGCTTTTCGTGCCGAGAGGCACTGAGCTTGATGGAACTAGATAACCGGACGGCGCAAAGACGACTGGTTACTGGGATCCAATCCAGCAAAGCGCGTTCAGCTTTGGGGATGAGTGCAACTGCCATGCCATGTATTCCACAAGTCATCGCTTCTTGGTCACCGGACAAACGGTTGGGGAAATGTGAAAGAGCTGAGTTCCTTCTTGGCGTTCTGGGATGCGTAACCATGCTTGGGTTCTGCATGCGTATTTTGGAGGCACAGCATATATCATTTTTAAGGGAGTATAAGGTCTCAACAAGCATTGGCTGTTTGCCAATTTAACACAGAGTACGGACGTTGAAAGCTCCTATATAGATTTAGAAAGGTTATTTCGTTTATTGTTAGTAAGCAGCGAGGAGCATAAGACCCTTCGGTCAGACAACCGACAATCGAATCGCCCAGCGACGTTTGTTTTTGTGGTGGGAAGAGGTTGGGGAAGGACAGCGGTGGACACCGAACTGCTCGAGCAAATGACACTTCCCGGTTGTCCAGGCCGAAGAAGGGGGCTTGGTCGAAGTACCCCACCTTGATCCTTTGACTCAAAAGTCTGACCCACAAGGCAGCGGACAGTAGGGGGGACCCATCCCGGAGCCGATGACTCAACACTCTGACCTGCTCAGCTTCACCGGGTTGGCCTAACCTGAAGGCGCATGGAATAAGGCATCACTGTCTCGTTCCTGATGCGGTTGCGCACAGAGGTGCCTTTTGATCTGCATTGGGCTCTTTGGTTTTAAATGTATTTCGACCGTGTTGGATAATGCCCCGGCCGTCACGGTCAGCCGTTGGGCGATCGGAGTGTGCGGTTTCGGGGGCCGATCTTTTCTAACCAGTCCTTCCTCAGGGGAAGGCAACATCGCTGCTTCCATAAATATGGACATGCTGGTCGCCTGAGGGAAACATCTTACTGCCTTCACACTCCTGTCACAGAGGCCAGTACGACTTTACCCCCAGACCGCCTCACAGCACGATTACTCGTACTACGGGGTGTCTTCCGTGATCCTGATCCTACGATGCGACATGCCCCTCCTCACGAGCTGCTGATTCTGACTATTACCGTTCATGAGTCCACATTGGTTTGGATAGTTAATATGTTGGGTCGTTTTGGTTTGGTTGTTAGGTTCCACATATGTACTTCTTTGTTTTCGATCCTTTTCAGGACGACGTTAGCAAGAAGCTCACGAATTCCACAGATACGCTCCTTCTTTATCCTCAATTCTATACGTCGTTCACGTAAAAATGGCAGAGCCTGGCGGCTTGCGTCGAGTATTCGCCAATCCTAATTTCGACGTTAAGCGATGTGAGTTTTCTGTTTATATCCCCTGATGTTCACCTGAAGCTCTGATGTGCCCTCTGGAAGGAATTTTCCAATAGTTTCTCACTGTTTCATGCGTCTTTTATGTACTTGAAGAAGTACATACACGCTAGGAATGGGCAAGGCCGACATAAATGTTCTTCCGTCATTTGAAAACTATCTGACTGGAACATGCATTTTACCTCGCTTTTCTATCGTTTGCTGCTGGGCGCGATTGTACACATCCTAACAAATAGAAAACAAACCAATCTAAGGTGGACTGCGACATCGATTGTGACGTGCTCCCTTCGATAGTCATTAGGTGATGACATTAGTTGCTTGTTACTCATTCAGTGATCTCCCTTACTACTAGAACAAGTCAGCTCGGTCATACTTAAGGGGTTTCCGTGACAGAGAGTGAGTGACATTTAAAGAGGTCGCCGCTAGTGAGTGTCACTCACAAGACCTGGAACCAGATTGCATAAAACTTTTTATATAACATGCGGTTGGTTGAATCAGTCCACTTAACACTAAGCGTTCTCGAGGCCATTAACATACTCCTCTACTTTCGGTTGTCTGGAAAATATATAATAAAGGCCATCTGGGAATGAAATCATCAGTTATCTGAGAGAACAAATCGTAAGAAAGGCTCATTAAGGTCCAAGCACCATTTTAAAATCTTCAACCATGCCGTTGAGAGCTGCTGTTCTGTTTTACTGTGAAACGAATGGTTTGTTCAGTAACTCACTTTCACTTACCTATTTCCCTTAACCAGTTGTGCGGAACAACCAGTCAAATGACGCCATGGTCGACTTTTTAAGCAATTTGTCCGAAGAAGCGTCCAGCAAGATGAAACAAGTGATATTCGAAAACTACAAGCTGTTCATTAAAGCTGGCAAGGCTGCATCGGAACTGGATGCGGCAATGCACCAAATTCATCGAGACTTTACCGAGAAGCGCCGTGTGATGAACGCTCTAACGGAGACATGTCTTTTTAACGGTTGGTCGCTTTTGCACTCTATCACTAGAGGTCACTTTTCATTAGACCAGTCACAACCAATTTTCCACGGAGCTAACTGTTGGGACGTGCAATGCATGAGGTGCGCAGGGTAGTTGGCTGACCAAATGCCAGGTGACCATATAAATGCACCGGATGGCAACCGGCGGGTGGTACAACTATGATAGAGTCGATTCTAGCTTTTACCGCAACTCTGCATAGTATTTTGTTGCGGAATTTCAATAAGATGAGCTCACTGATTTGTTTACTCTAGTCTGCCTTTCCAAATTGTAAGTTTTCAGATTTTAAGCTCTCAGCGTTGCAGCAGAAATAAGCATCACTTTTATTAAATCTGTGTAACTTTATAGCCTCTGTAGTTTTGCTGGTATTCGGACAGTTGTTGACACTGCCTAAAGTGAAGCAGCAATGAACTCAACAGATGAGGCAATCCAGTTGGTCTACAAATAGTGTCAGTTGCACCACTGAAAGCGATACTGTCAGTGACTGCCTTCGGCGGTCGCCCCCGGAGCGAATGAATCCCCAAAACGGTACAATGTGACAGTATTCAATTCCTCGAATCTTCTCACCAACAACGGATTCTGCATAGCGCTGGAAGTTCTGTTAGCATCATATTTGCACTATATGGGAGTGAGGTGGTTTTGTCGAATCAATCATTGTGTGAATCTGCTATGGACTAAGAAAATAGCTCAGAGAACCTGCTTCTAGGGACTAAGTCAATGCATCTCCTGAAGCCTAGGGCTTACAGAAGTAGTTTAAACCTTGAGATCCAAATTAAAACACGATTGTCCGGACGACCGAGCCCCATAAGCTTGAAAGCATGTTATCCGGGAGGGTCAAACAGGGCATTCCAGAAGTGAGCACTTGTCAGTGACTGTAAATGTCGCATGCTGTGTTGTGAATCGTCCGCATGTTTCGGATGGAAGTGGCACCTGTTGGACAGACTCCAACAGTCGCAAGATGTACCCGTTTGTCCCCTAGGTAAAGCAATAAAAAAGATGTCAGTTTTCTGTCGACGTCCCTCAAATTCTTTCTACTTTTTTCTAAATGGCGTCCAGTACACACTTGAGCTTTCCACTCATGTATAGCCACTGTATTGTATTAAAAACAGGTAAAAAAAATGACTTTTTTTTGGAGTGATTACCCCGAACCGACGTCGGTTTTCACCATTTGGCTTACCATGGGCTTACACGGCTGTAGCTGTCGTTTAAAGGTTATGCTGGTTCCCCCGTGGGGTTTTCAAGTAGGAGTGGAGCTAAATAGCTTCCTTTTCTGTTTTTCGTTGTTTTTAAGAAAATTTCTAGAGCACTGTGCAATCTGCATTTCTTACGCGTCCTGATTTGAAGGATATACATTATTTGCAGGGCGTAAGCCTTAGCAATTGTTACCTGTTTAGAAAAGCTGGGAAGCACCGAATAGCTCTTTGTTGTTGTATGTGCATCTTACGAACCTGCCACCTGTGGGATATGAAAAGCTGTGCGTAATTTACAGGAAATGGTGTTACTCATCTTTCAGTCATCCTGTTCCAGTCACGTGATCCGATTTGGGCCTTGTTCTTGAGTGACTGTTTGTCAATGGGAGATCCATGAGGCCTGTGAATGCAAGTTGAACACACTGTGCTCAGTCACCGCTGGACAAATCTCATAGTGTTCGGTTACTGATCAGCTCGTTGCGGCTTCCAATACCCCCAGAGATTTCTGAGATGCGCACTACTGGTGATCCCCAACAAGAATGAACCGGCCGAAGTTTGATTCTTGGCCTCTTAGTACGGATGAAATCTCATCGTTCCGATGTTGTCTAGATTCAGACTCTGCGTTTCGATAGTTTACCTTTCGCGCGGTCCACAGTGATCTTAACGGCATGTTTTTTCTCTACATGCTCTTTCAGAAGTCATACCAGGACTAAGTGAGGAGGAGCCTGCAGCAAAATCTACGGGGTCGTTGCCAGCTTTAGGAAAAAAGCTGAGTGAATTTGCGGACGCGCCGGTCAAAATGCTGGTAGATGTGGTTGAGGAAATTGCGGTACGTTGAGCCTATGTGTTGTGATCTTAATTGCTACAAAAAACTGTTGTCGACTCCGTCTCGAACAAACGATTTTGGAGTTTAGTTTCTTGAGATGTGAGCGCGGATCGTTCACATACTCACTTGCTATAAGGTCTTACCGCTTCACAAACGCCGTCAGGATTTCCTTTGCCACACTTGTGCGGCTTATTGCTGTCAATTTGTCATTTGCGTAGTTTCCTGCGTGCTAACTGTAACTTTATCTCTGATCACAGCAATTGACAGATGATGCGACCCGGTGTGTGATATTCGATGGAGAGGTGAACGAGCTAAGTGTTGACACCTATTCATTCATATGTGTGGCTCGTTTGTTTCTACTGAACGATGTGCTGGTCGTTGCTTACACACAGTCTGGCAGGTAAGCATGACTTTGCTGTGCCCTATGCGGTTTTTATCGAAAACGCGCCACATAATATTCGGAACTCGTATGACAAGTGGACTACCCTGTAATTGGTGTTTTTCCTCCGGTAGGGCTGCCACATGTCGTTACCGAGTGCAAACTGTCTATCCACTGGACACAGTCAGCGTGGTTGCTCTTCCTCCACATGACCGTTGGCAACGCTCTACGGATGCATTCAAAGTTACAGCGAATATGGGCACACGCGTCTTCCAATCACCCGAGCAGGTATGTTTTGTGTACTAGGTAGTATTTTCCCTTTCAGTTCTGGCGGCCTTTTTATCCCTTTGGTTTATGCTACGAGTCTGTCAGCACCGAATAATGGGTACCACCTGTTACTCTAGTTCACAGCGATCAGCCGTGATTTACAGGCCATCTCATGGAGAGTACCACAATATCGTTGATCATACCAACTGTGTGGCTTCGAATTGTTTTCAGTGTGTCCACTATTTGTCACTTTCCTAGGCTGACTCCAAAAGGCTAGCTTCTGTGCAGTTTTCGGGTCTTTGATACAGTCGATTGGTCGAGCATTTGTGGATGCTTGTATACTTCTTAGCATATCTAAGTGCGATTGGGATGTGACCTTTTCCGCATGTAGGTAATTACGTGAAGCTGATGATGAGCGGTGATGGACACGCGAGGACCGATGATGGATTCCCTTCCCAGCGCAACCAGTAATCGGTTTTTCTACCTTGCTCTTTACACGATTGTGTTTAAAAATGGTTCAGGAGAACAGTTAGCATCTGGGATTCTTGTTCGTATTGGTTTTTTAGTTGGTTGTTAAACTCCTACCATATATATATATATATATACTTATGTATATAAACTTGGGTAATTCTTCATCAGTCCACAGATGTAATGAAGTTCCACTTTTCGACGGAGGTAGCTTATACTCATGAACCGAAAACTACACTGTCTCACTAGACAGCAAAAAACACACTTTCGAATGAGCACGTTTACTTCCGTTGAAAGTTTGAAACAGTGCACACCTCCCTTCCTAGTCACAATCTGACGCTGGGGGAGTGCTGTCTTCTGAGATTGTCTAGATACCCCTTTCCTTGTAAGGCTGGACTACCGTAACGAGTTTGCGGACGGAGAGAGGTTGCCTTGTTGGGAGTGCACGTGTGCGGTCACGTCCTCTTTGTTTGGTCGGAAATTTACCTTCTTATTAGCCGGACCTTTTGGCAGAAACTCATGACCCTTAGGCTGGCCATGGGTCACGCCAGGAGTACATGCTAGCTCTGCTAACGCATCTTAAATTTCACGCCAAATCCTCCTTAAGATTTTTCAGCCACCCACCTTCCGTACTTGGTGTTGAATAAGAATAAGCAAAAATCCCGCAAAACCGTCTTGAGTACTGTTTATCTCATTTCTTCTGCTGCATCGTCCGTTTTTTAGCAAACGTGGGTTCGGGTTCTAGAGGAAGCAATACATACTTATACCGCCTCTCTCGGTGACCAGACCCGTCAAGACTCTAGTGTCGTTCACTATGGTATAGGAGAATCTGACTCATTAAGCATGGGTGATTCAGCAGCCACCCAGCTCCCGTCTGGTACAGGCCCTCCGCGCGGAACCTTCAAAATGCCTGTCTATGCCATACCGCTGAGTGCAGCATCTGTCGAGTCTGTTCGAGAAACAATCAAAGCATTGAACAGTACTCTGCCTGAATGTTCAGATTTGCTGACTCTTCCAGCCGATTTACCGAGTCCCACGCCCAGCCGCAAAAACCCGTTTGGTGACCAGTCGCGTAAGTAAAACTGTTTTCCTGGCATAAATGTTCATCTTCTGTCATCCAAGCGTATTGTTGTCGTTTTCTTACCACGCGTTTTGTTCTAGTCAAGGGCAGGTTCTTTAGGTTAACGCATATCATTCAGATTCACAATGCACGCCGGTTAGGTTGGAAGTCGTGTGATGTTGAAGTTGGGTTCGAGTTCTGAATCTGGACATTCCTGTTGCATCCACCTGACCAGCGTGAAAGCAATTTTATTCGCATATTTCGTGGTTTTATGTAAGCTGAGACACTGTCATGGCTCACAAACCTAGAAAGGTGGTTGATTAAGGTCCACCTGTGGACTCCGTGGATGCTGTATGGGCGTCCTCCAGTACAACTCGACGGGTTACTGAGATACGCAAACCGCCGCATCACAATTAGGTCCAGTTTCTCCTCTAGCTCCATGTATGGCAGGACACGTTTTCAGAATCGATCACATCCACTTTGCACTCATCTCTAAATGATACCTTCAGGTGACTGAGATGTGATTTCAGAATCACCCTCATGGGAGTCCTTTCGGTAGGTCATATGATGTAACAGAAGTACCTATATCTTCTACCCATCCAGGCTAACTTTTTCCTGGCCGTCATACATCCCCGTATGATAAGTACAACTACTTCAGCCCTCAAGCCTCCCATGCAGGACAATGGCAGTTGTAATAAAGAGCTGATTGGTCGTGAGATACGGATGCAGGTTGAAATAAACTCACTCATTACGTACTAACCTTCGTACAAAGAGCAGTTGGAAGTTTCAGAAAGTTGTGGCCTCCAAAAGGTTCATCGTCTGCCATTGATGAGGTAATGAGGCGGACTCTGAAGGGTTTCCCAGAGAACCTTGTCGACCTTAAATATGCAAACGATGGTAGGTAGAAGGTAGAAGAGTCATCAGGAAAGCTTATTAGGGCCATTGAATCCTTCAGGATGTGTTTGTCACCCACAGAATGTAAAATCGTGATGCGGGAGGTACGTTCTTTAAACATACCTTTAAGTGTTCGGGGAGGGGCACTAGAGGCTTCAGAAGTTGCATCAGTTCCGACTGTAGCGTGAGGTATAAAATCAGCGGTCGAATCTGAAAGATCAAGAATGTGTTTGCCAGTTTGTGCCACTGTAGCATCAAAAGGCATATCACTGCAGATCAAGGAACGCGTATATCAGACTACAGTGCGGACTATGTCATTGTACTGCTGCAAGACCTGCCCACTTGTGGCGGAGGATCGGGGACACTTTTAGCCGTTTGACCGGCGATGTCTCATAACCATAGCTGGAATCAACTGAAACCAGTGAATTCACCAAACGAATGCTTGGTGAACTAGACGGTATTTCACTCAAAGGATGCATCCAGTACTGCAATCGAAACTGGTTGAGCCATGCATGCCGAGTTAACGTTCTATCGACAAAAGCATTGTTTTCCGTGCCAAATCAGAGATCGCGGAGATCTGGAGCTGAAATGAGTGACGTGATTGTGTCGAATGGATTGAAGAATGATACAAAAGCTCTGGATGCTGTTTGTGTTCTTCTCCCTTAAGGATTGGGCAAACGTGAACCTCCCTGTGTTTGGCTGAAGATACTGAATGATATGACAGTGGCATTCGTCATGTCAGTTCCTATCCGAACTGTTTGACAGAGTGTTGGTGTACGGGTTTCGGAAATTTATATTAAACCAGCGCTAGGTCCTCTTTTTACATAATCTTTGTGGCTGCCTGTATACGACTTTGTTCAAGTAAACTGATGTGATGATGTGTCACATTGGCCACTGTTGTTACTGCAACCTCTGTCAACCCCTTGTCTGAAGGTGGACCCACATCACTTGTTAAGGACGTTCTCTTTCTCCTTCCTAAGCGCATTTAAGTCACAGAGGCACTGACTCAGGAGTTCACCACCGCTCCTGGAGAAGGAAGGCTAAAGGTTGTCGTGACTAGAACCTCATACAGTCCTGTGACTGAATGGCGTTCTGTATTCACCTTTTTTTACCGACCGGTGACGCATTAAAAGAAGCTGTGTGATCCGGGGTTCGGGATTTGAAAACCCTCTCAAGGTGACTAAGGCTGGTAGTACAGATGAACGTTAATAATGATTCAAGGGGAACCGAGCTATCCGTCCTAGTGTTGGAATGTATGGAGAGAGGGAGAAAGAATAGTATCAGCAGGGCGGAATATAGAAGGATAAACAACACTTGAACAGATAGTAGCAAGCCTTTGTCCGTTCTGTCTTCTGTGTGCAGCGAGTATGGCGATTCACGCGACGACCGATGTCGTACAACCTTTTGTGAGGTTCACGGTTGTGTCCTCTGAAGTACCATTAGGGCGCCAAAGCCTACACAAGAGGATGATTATAACTCACAACCGAAACAGAAACTAGTCCTCGAGACAGTGGGCAGGTACCACCATACTATGCCAGTAGTTCACAGTTCCAAGCAGTCTCCGTATATGTTTTCATAGATAATGTTGATAACCAGCGTTCAGCTGTAACACTCTTCCGGTGCCTAGCTGCCATGCCACCCGAAGGAAGCACGAGGACTGGGATACTGTCAGGTTGCCCAAGCCTAGACAGGGATAGTCGAGAGGCGGAGGTGGGATTCGAACCTCGGACCTTCTGATCAATAAATCCGCGCTCTTACCACTTGAGCCATCTCGCCCCATGTTGATAACCAGGAAGTTGTGCTCGTCAGAACTCCATCCATCATACTTTGTGGATGTCCAAAGAACAGTCACCCAAACCGTCCACCATGATAAGCTCCAATTCCATTGCGCCAGAGTTTGTGTGTAGCTCTTGGATTCCCAGTCGATGGGTGTAAGCACAATATCCCGTTCATCATCCTACAATAACTTGAGTGCTATTTGCACCTATTCCGCAACACATTCTAATCTAAAACACTCACGAAGTAGTTTTTCTAGGTATTTCTATGTGCCTAGTTTCAGATAAAATATCTCTATCCCACAAGTTGTCGGAGTTGTGAAGTTCAAGTGGATTTATGGTTACTTCGCATAACATAACCTTCTGCTGAGATATAAACAACCAGTTTATAAATCGCCTTTCAATCTTTCAACTATGAGTGCCATTTTGAAGCCATTATCATTCAAATACACCATTTCACCAATTTACAACAGGGCGTCTATTCCTTCGAAACCCGCCAACCTCGAGTTCTCGCAGTGTGTGTCCCAATTCTTAGCTCTCCTCTCCCCCAATCGCATACTGGAAAATTAACTTGGAGTGTAGTTTACTTTACTCAAACTACATACAGCTAGATATGAAGTTTCAGGTCTGTGAATCAATCTTTTAATGACAGCTTTTAGCAAGTTTCTATACCACCGCCAGCTCGATGAAGCTCCGGTGAACTTGGAACTCGTTTATTTAATAATAAAAAAAGATACTCGTTTGGCTGTAACACCCGGCGCCCAGTCGTTGTGCCATCCGAAGAAAGAACGGCAGCTGGGATACTGCCAAGCTGCCCAAACCTAGACAGGAACAGTCGAGATACAGAGGTTGTGTTCGAACCACTTACGTGCCGGTCAGTAAGTTAGCGCTTTGGCCCATGAGGCATCCAGGATTCCTTCAAACCATTGTTGTACAAAAACCTTTTCCTGTCGATTCCACTGTAATGTCCAGCGATCGGCTCGTCACTTATTACAAAACTTACTTACTTGCGTTCCTTTTTTCCTTATACCTGAGTGGTTCCTTTTCACCGTTGCGTTCTCTTTTATGCTGGCAGAATCCCAACCGTCACCTTCTGTCGCGAGCACACCGAAGCACCCCATGGCTTGGTTGTGGGATGTCCCAGAAGATTTGGATGTTGCCATATCAGAACGGGACTTTGTCCGGGCAACCGAGCTTGCAGTGAAAGCGCGTGAACAAATCGACCTCCTGCTGACTACCACTGACTTGAACGAAAATTCGGCGATGAATTCGGATAAACTAGATGAAATACTTGACTCAAAACCGCGTTCTGAGTGGCTCACACTGTCCCAAAAAATCTATAAAAATGAAGTCAGCTTGTCTGAGGCTTTACAATATGAGCTAATGACTGCCGCAGACCGCCATAGTATGTTTTTGTTATTGCACGTAATCCCTTCGTCAAGTGTATAATATTACTAATCTTCATCATTCCGTGTGCTTCACTGAAGCGTACTCATTTGTTGTTGTTTCTGACTATGGTTTAGTCACGAGATTGGAATTATGGACTTCTGCTCACTTTATCGTCATTGCTTCATTTTTGCAAATGAGTTACCTCCAGTAACGTACGATTCAGAACAAGATCGGGGAGATGTCGGCCAATTTTCTTCTCCTTATCAGTGTGATAATGTAGCGATTTGCCATCGTCTCTTGCTTGAGAAGCATTTAAGGCGATAGCCCTGATTTAAACATTGAGTTTCGTATTAAATCCCTAGCGCCCCGATTTTTTTTCGGCGGACCTGCTGTTTATGGGCATCTCATAAGGAGTTTATCGGTCCATCTTTATGGTTGATATCCATCCAACCGCCTGTAAGCTGCCCAGCGGTGGTGAACAAGCTCGATTTGACCCACATCGTCCAACACATTTGATAGCCAGTCAACTGTTTTGTTTATTATGTTCTAGTGGTCACAACTGGCCACTGTCTCGCCCTTCTAGTAAAGTTCCAAAGACAGTGGTCACTTAATGTCTACCTCGGCTGACGTCCACACAACTTCCAAACTCCAAAAAGTGTGCACAAAATCCTGTGAAAGGCATTCTGGAGTCAGTATGTTAACCATAATATCTAAAGTGCGCTTCATCCTCAAGTTGATCCAGTTCAAGATAATAGAACCAACCCTGACTTCACTTTTGCGGAGTCATGGATCATAAAATCACTCTCCATTCGGTCCTCCATCGATGCGTATTAGGCAATATTAAGCTGGTTGCAAAAGCATTATGGGTACTGGTAATCTACGCTGTCGGTTCATCAGTTAGACTCAATTATCATATGCCAGCATGTGGTAACTAGCCCGACATATGTGCATCCACTGAATTGATCGCTCATGAAGGTCGCTGTCACGCTAAGTGCACCAACGTCGCAGGTGTAATTGGTCAATAGCAGTAGTGTTTACATGTCACTAGTTATCTCAACAATCTCCAGGTCGAGAAGTGTGGATGAACTGAATATGTAAGGCCAATAAGAATAGTGATTTTCTTCTCGGAATGTAGAGTTTTGTCGACGGGGATTCGTGAAAATTAGGGAGGTGCTTTCTTAGGAAGCCTTCGTCTTAGGCTATGCGTCATCTCGTTACTCGTTCACTAGGTGAACCTTATCCTTTGACAATAGCCGGTGTCTAGTATATCACTCATACTGTGTCCGTTTTCGCCTAGAAAAGCATGGTCATCAATGACCAATCTTTCCCTACTCGTGAACTGCAGTCATCCACTTGAAAAATTGTTTTTGAGGCAAATCGAGTTCAAAAGTGAATTCATACACTCGAAACAGGGAAGAGTTTTCAGACGGCTGACGTTGACAGCATGTTCCCTCGGCCTTGGGAAATATGGTTCCACCGTCGAATTTGCAGGAACACACCGACCTAGATCATGGCCACTTATCCAGTTGTGTAGCATCAGTACAGGTTTCTCTATTACTGTTGGTTATCTTTATCACAAAAAACTGTTTGAATGAACACTAGATTGGCTAACAGAAAGGCTGTTACAATAGTTCCGTTCCACAGTGTTCAATTGAATGCATGCTGTTCGTTAATGGCGCCGACTTAAAAACTCTGATGAAACGCCGTCGTGTGGGATTCACTATACATCCGATCTCCATTGATTTCCAGGTGCTCCTCGCTCGATCAGCGCCCCGGTGTCGCAATTGGTCTCACTAGGGAAGGGAACATTGGCTGCTCAACTCTTTCTTGCCTACCGGTCCAACCTAATGGCAAGGACACTCACACGTGGGGTTCGACAAGAAGGAAATCAGCTGGTTTATCTAAACCGCCTCTCGTTTGCTTTTCACCGCGGCGTGGTCGAAACAGATGCGCAGTGGCGTTCGGCAGTAGTTAAACCGCTCATGGAGCGTACTTTGAAGATGAGTGGAACAAGTGGCAATCAAGAACGGATAAGCATGAATCTGCTCTCTGCAAGTAAGTTTCATTTTGGTGGTGTTTTTGGCGTCACCTGTTCAGAAGGCTGAACTATATTTGAACTGTCTTTTGCTATCAAAGGTCTGACTCGCGTTGCGCTTTACTGTTATGAACGCTCTAACTTCAACCACCACTCGCTGTTTTGTCCACCATTAATAAATCGCCTACAATGCATGACTGTCCCTACTTGACTTACAGCACAAAAGGTACATAAGAGGTCACATAAAAGGTTTCATATCGACGGTTTAGATGACTCGTTTTCGATACGACCTGAGGAAGTAAAAGGTACTTCCTAGTTACATAAGACAGAGTATATGTCATTTATACCGAAATCAAACATCGTTTGACTCTATTAGAGTGGAAGTCACGATCGATCTCTGAATTTGGGTGATAAGCGACCAGCTCTTTGCATCTCCTGTGAACAGTAAGGATATTTGATCGTCACAGCTTTTTCCTGTCAATTTAATATGATCTTGATTTCTCTCCGGACACAAACCTTTTCGAAGATGTTTGAGACGTGTTGAGGAAGTGTCTATACGACGGTTTTGAACCTTTCGGTACTGTGGATGTGTATACAGAGAAACACTGGAGGTACTGGAAAAACCAAAAGTGAAAGTCCCACAAAATTTAATCAAAAGTACGCGGGAAAGGCATATTTAGTCACTTTTCCCGAAATGTTTTTTCTTTGGTTCGGAATAGTGTTTCTCATCACCTTCGCATGATGCATGGTATTTTATAGGTGTCCATGGATTTAGTAGACGCTTACTTTAGACGGAGCATTTCACGACCTCAAAGATGACAGGTTGAATTGGAGTTTCGCATTGAAACCGGCGTTCTCAATAACAGTGTGTGACGTATATTTCATTGTAACCTTTCAGGAAGGGGTCAACGTTGCTGGTGGTACATACATATAGAAGGAACGGTATCAGGTGACACTTTGAAATGGTAAATCCGCAGTTCTCCTTATTTGCTTCGTGAGATTTTCTCCTTTTTGTTGGTAGTCCAACTATTTGAGTCCGATGTCACTCACCAGTTAGGATACGAAGAAGGTCCGTGGTTCAAGCCCAAACCCTGGTTTTCTAATTGCCCTTGCGCAGACTTGAGCAATCTGGCCTTGTTTCTTCAGTCCTTGTGTTTCCTGTAGGCAGCATGGTAGTTGTACACCGAAAAGTTGTCGCAGGTGGACGATTGTTGTTATTAGTAACGTGACATTTATGCGCCCACTTTTTATTCTTTATCTTCACAGGATTTTGCAGTTGGGTATTGGAGGAAGCAGACAAATTCAGTCAGCAGCTTCGCGTTATTCTCGTCGACAGTCGATCAATCACATTCCACAGTATGGCACTTGCGGCCCATCGGATGATCGCTCATGCGGAAAGGGTAGGCTCGTAATCTTGGTTTTTTTCTTATGGTGTACGGCATCGAACTGTTCGCAGCAGGCCATCCAGTTTTGGATAACTGCGGCGTAATTGTCTTTCATAGTGGAAGAGAATTCATGAGAATACAAATATAATAGTCTGAGAGTGGTAACAGCGCTGGGGTAGACACCAGTCAACGTAGAAATGTAGAAATAAAACTGAAGTTGCTCATTGGTGCAACAGTTCCATGAGCACATTGTCATCGATCGAATCGCCATAGCACTTGCTAACTTCTACAGACCAACAACACTTGTAAACAATAACTGAGAGCAGTCATCAACTGAAGTTCCGTGAGCCGGAAAAACGGGCCCCTGAATCCGGCCGAAATTACTGTTAACTTTCTCTCGTTATCACCATACACATTAACCAGAAACAACTTCTAACCAACATTCCACACTAGCCTGCTATTTGAAAGAGATCTCACTTAGTAGCTCCTCATTTCCCTTAAAGCTATGCTAACCGGCTAGCTTACACACTTGGCGTGACGAAACTTTTATGTCGAAAGCCAGACTCGGCCTAGAAGTAGGTTCCCTGTTTACCAAATCTCCCCTACAGCAAAGAAACTTTCACTCAGTCCCAGCTACCTGAAACAATTAAATAGGAAGGGTTTTGACCAACACTAAGAATAAGAGAAGTAGGAGGTTCAGAGGGCAAGTTTATGCATTCAGAGACATAACTGGGGCAACAGCAACTAATTGGTTGAGGCGTTCTAGTAGAGTAACCAGTTGGTTCGCCAGTATTGTGTGCGAAGTTCGTTTTGATGTTAGTACTGATGTTATATCATGACTCAGACACTCACATCAATCAATTTCTCGCATGATAAGTTGTGGTAGGATCAGAAGAAATCCGGAGAATACCGCTAGGGAATGATTTTTCATGGTGGCAATCTTTGCTTGTTGTTGCAAGTCCTTACTGTTTTCGCTGAGCTAGGGCATTCGATTGCAAACGTTTCATCACTAATTGAGGTGAGATCATCAGTGCGTTATTAGGATTGGTGGTTGTGCACAACCACCCGAATGGCGCGAAATGCTAGATGTCATCATTATGATCATCATCATGAGAAGCAACATCAGTGTTGACATTGATGCTTCACCGCTAGATGTGATCCGTGTGTATCTCCCCACTGTGACGTACAAAGTTTCCGTTCTACCGGACTGCACATTCTAGGAGAGTAACGTGCAAAACGCCCATGTGTAAACTGTATTCACAAATTGGAGTCCCATCAGATGGACGCACCAAAGGCAACTTACATTCACATAGTTTTGTATTATTTACCCTTGGTTTGGTCGACTACTCTCCCTCACAGGTCACCGAGCTGGTTGGCGTAGATATTCGTTCATTACTTCAAGCAAATCTGTCTCGGACTTGGAGACTGGCTGCGGAAGCTCAAGCCCATGTGTTGCGTGATGCCGTCAAGCATCGTGCCAAAGTGAGTTGGAAACAACGCTAAGCAGTGTTGCTCTTTATTTACTTTTTTGCATACCCACTGGCTATGAATGTGTTGTTTGGTGTGGAATTCCGGACCTGAGGTGCAGTTAGTTATTTGAAACCTATGGATATTTCAAGTATTGGTTCAAGGTATGACGGCAATTAGCTGTATCAGAATCAGTCAGTTTAAAAAACATCCCATATTACTTAATTTAGGTACATTCGTTCTGGTGCGTTTTGGAACCTGATAAGAGTAACGTCCGTAGTTACGCCTTTGCACATTTACCTGAGGTCCACTGTAGAGTCGTGGATATCGGAATTTATTCTAGACCTTCAGACCTATTAACTTGGTCCTGTTGTGCTCCTTGTAGCTTAGCCCACCGAAGCTACATTAATATGTGACCGCTTTGACAGAACGTTAGCTTCTTGGCCAATTCCTGTTCACGTATTGGGTCGCTGCAGCGAAATACCGGCCGATACAATCAATCCCATTGAAGAATAATCCAAAGTGAAGCCCCCCGTCACAAAGCGGAAATACCGCCACTCCTGAATTTTGTGATTGCGGTTTATCTACCTGGTCCGATGCTGCGCCTCGCTTCGTTACGACAGTAGCTCCGCGCGTTTCTTTTTTTCGTTATGCTATATTTACTGGTAGACAACTGGCCTTTTTTTATCCAACTTGGATAGCGTTACAAGTTACTCTCCAGTGGTTGGCTCCGCCTGTCGTTGCCTGGCTGGGCCTGGAACTCAGAATATTTGGGCCTTAGTATTCAAAAAACACTTTGGATTGACCTGGTGTCACACTGCGAAAATCCATCTCGTACCTAGGTTTTTTCTGGCTCAACTGTCCAATTAGACAAGAATGTTCAAGCTAGTATCCGATACCAAAATCTTTAATTTGGCTTGCCATTTTCCAGCAAGAAAACTGGGAGCCAATCACCAACAAATCAATATCTGATCAGGAACAATATACGAAGGAATTGTATGATCTTGGTCTTCTCAATCGAAATTCCACGGGGACGAGTGAGTATCGTTCGCATGCAACCCGCTGATTTTCCATTATTTTTCATCGATTTTCTTCCCGTTAACGTTATTCTCTTTCCCCTTCGTATTCTTAGGTTTGCCTTTGACCATCGGAACATGCCAGTTTGTCCGTTCGTTGTACTACTTCGTTCGGAGCGCGATTCGTTTACACACCGATGAGCTGATTGCTCCATTCAGTCAATGTATCGCCAATATTATACGTGCAGAACTCGAAAACTACGAAGCTGTGCTACAGGATGCCGAGTTGGGAACCAGGGTGAGTGCACGTTCACCGCTTATTCTCCATTTCAGTGAAGTCAGGGTTTGCCCAGCAGGTAGAGAAAATATGCGAATCAAAGCCTGAACCACTAACAGTTCTTCATGAGCTCAGGATCCACGTGCGAATATAAGCAAAAATAGTAGTTTCCAGGAAAGAGCACTCCCTCTTTCAGGCCCAGCGTTTCCCGTCAGCCTCGAACTTGCGTGCGGACCACAAACAGAGGTCACCCAAAATAATAAAATATTCGCTCAGCTGTGACACCCTTTCAGTGCTTAACTGCCATGCCACCCGAAAGAAGCACGAGGGCTTGGATACTACCAGTTTGCCCAAGCCTAGACAGGAAGAGTCGAGATGCAAAAGGCAAGTTCGAACCACAGACCTGACCACTGAGCCATCTCCCCCATCAGAGGTCAGCCAACCCCGACTCGCTGCAATCTATTGGAGATTTCCAATTAGGGCACTCAGAGTGCAACGACAAACAGCCCACTTATAATTGTATACTCGCGTGTAATTGTACTGTTCGTTTGAAGCGGGACGTTAACACTTACTATTTACGACCGGACGGGACTTCAGAAAGCGATTCAGTTGCTTATAAGAAAGCCCGAAGCAATAAAAAAACTTTTAGAAATAAGTTCTTGATGCTTCGAACTTTCAACAACAAGACTCATCCATGCAAGCAATAGTAGAGGCACATCTGGTAGGTCCAGCGCTTACGGGATACGTAGTCGCATGGTACATGTCATGCTAAGTGACCATTTAAATTCCGTGGAACTGTCAGAGGAAGTCGAAGATGACGGACAAAATGCGGGCGAAAACCATCCATAAAATTGAGTGCAACAATGCATCGCACTTCTGTGATTCGGAAATTTGCAGCACATTCACCCAGGGACATGCTCTCGGACGTACAAGGTGCCCAGAAAGGTTGATTGAGAAAGGAGACAGATGACTGACCATTTTTGACACTTCAGACAAATGGCTCATTCTATGTATCGGGTGTCTATTCGCGAACGTTAAGTGGATGATCAGGCTGTCTGTAACCAAAAATTGAATTCCCCTTCGATACAAACAGTCCCAGGTTTTCCCGTGTTCGCCTCCCTGATGGGCTGCTGTATACTAGAACGACACCGCGGACCAGTCACTGCCGTTGGTGAGAGTTCCAGGGTCGAGCTACTATCCAACGGCAATCGGTCGGTCGAAATCTTGGTCCGTCTACTAGCCGGATTAATGACGCAAACTTACAACCCAGCTATTCCACCCAGATGGTGCATATTCGTTCAAACGTTCAAAAGAAATTGTTCCTGTACGCCAGCTCAGTGGTCTTGTGCACTTTTTCCTGCTCTTGTGGATGGGAATATCCTTGTAGGACGTAGAGGCAACGGCCGAAAAGAATCCACGAATAATGTCCAGATTCATTAGGAACTAAATCAGCTCCACCTTGGCGCATCCCAAGGACAGTGCTGATACTCAAACGGCATTCATACTTGCACAGCACCAATTTGAAGGATACAGACGACACTTATTGGCCATTTCAGAAGCCATAGGCGTACGTTCGTTGAGTTCCGCAATCTGCATTCGAAAGTATGTCCAGGCTTTGTGGTTGCAATAACCAGTCCATACTAACTGACAAGCATACAAAATAACAAGACTAGCAGATTGGGAACAAACGTCTAGGAAATGCTAAATCTTCAAACCCCACTACCATTTCAAATTAAATGGTCTGTTTTCCTTATACCGTGGCGTATCTACCTATTCTGACCTAATTGTTTGTACGTCTAATGGTCACAAGTGTGCACGCCAATGGATAAACTTGTTTGTTCGCCTTATTGTCTCCTTTTATACATAATCCATGTTTCATGTCTCGAGGCAGGTCTTCTACCCGTGTTGTTGCAGTGGAATAAGGGATTCTTTCAATGATGACCGGGGAGGCGAAAGTATACTGACATGCTCTCCACGACGGTTTTATCAAGCTGTTAACAAAGGCCTACAAGGTTTGGTGAATGAAAACGCAGGACTCTTTAAACAGTAGTTAGAGTTTGAGTACATTGAATTTGCAACAAACGGTGGCTGGTCGTTAGTGGTGTGATTCCGGATACCGTTTTGAGGCGAACTGCCAATTGTGTTTCAAGGGTGCATGGTCACATCCACTTACGTGAAGGTCATCCGAATACATCCAACTGTCGACTAGAATGTAATGCTGTCAATCGCCGACGAGGTAATTGGGGAGTGGTTATCTTTTCATCCCCTCCACAACAGCATGGCCTTGATTCTTAGTGGTGTCTTACAAAGCTCACGTTTGCATGGAGACTATGGACAACAACAGGTTCTGGGTGGATGTGGACTACTCTAATTCATTCGACAGAGCTAACTGTACTACACAGACCTGCTAGCTGTGAGTTATTAAGTAGGACTACACTTAACATCAAACGACCGTGGATCTAAAGAAGCTTTTTGAGTAATTTATGTACGCATCCGATGCCATTCTCAACAAGGTGACGGTGTGGCCCTGGGATCACAAAATTATTAAGAAAACTGTCCTCCAGAAGCATATTTTATTGGATAACTTACCGACAGAGATTTCTGCCTTTCGACAACAGTATGCCTGCACTATTCAATCTAGGTGGACAAAAACATGTTTGAACCCCGGGTTAAACTCGTGAGAAATCTATTAAACAGGAATGCTTCCATCTGCGAAAACGGTAAATCCTTCCAGAAAGATAAGCTTATTATCTCATAAACACCCTTAGCAACAAAAACAACGTGCCTCGTTCAGGGGACTACCTTAGACCTTATCAAATATTCCGCTCTAGCCAATTGTGCTGTCGTTCAAGAGGACGGTTTACAATGGCATTACTGAAAACGAATTAAAAAGGTCTGTTTCTCGAACAGACGAGTATCTACCGAAGCACTGTCGTTGATTGAACTGCGGCGCTCGATCTCAGGGAGCATTCTTGCAAGTCGATAATATACTACAGTAATTCGGAAACCTGCCTGACCCTAAACTGAATATATATAGTCTCTCAACTATGAATACAGAATTGACGACCAGAGAGTTGTTGAGGTTAGTCGAATAAGTTTGTTGTTGGTTTTCTTTTTCTATAGCATTTTACGCCTTCCGGTACTCTTTATTTCCAGAAGCCGTTCGTTCTCATGAACCTCGAATTCATCGCTCAACAAGCCATACCGAAGTTGGTCAAACCACTGAATTGCCTTCAATACCAAGCAGTGCAAGAAGTCATTGAGGGACTAAATCAATTGCTCGAATGTTCTCGCTGATGTATTCCCCCATGCCTCCCGCTAATCAGTGCTTTCAGCGATATGACTTTTCTCTGGAAATTACACTTCCTTTTCGACTGTTTGTATCTTAAAAGTTGATGCAATATTTCGCTATCACAAAAGAACTTGTATTGTCAAATTTTTCATGAAGATTGTCAAGTCACAAAAGGACAATGAAGGCAAGTTGTCGGGATGATATGTATAGTTTGGAGTTCGTATCGGACGGAGTCAAGTCGATTGGATCACTTTGCTCATCTCCATGAGTACGTAATCCACTTTGTTGTACAGCGCATCTAACACAGGTCCACGTTCCAGCTTGATCGGTCCCATCAGTAACTTCAGTATGGTTTCGCTGCGTACCAAGGCTGCTAGGACGGGATCCTACAAACGAATGAGAGAACGGACATACGCGTACAGCTTATTTTCATTGTCACAATCTACGGTTTAAACAGCACTTTTCTTGTTTTCTTACCGGGTGGAACCGTCGCCATTGTAATCTCTCTGGAGTATGCAAACCCCTTAAATTTCTGGTAGTCCAACGGATAGGTAGCTGATTGAGGCAGTTTGACATTGTTTTGGTAATCGAAGTTCAGAATGTTTGTTATTGGAATCAGGATATCCACATGCACATGACGTGCATGCATCGAGTTAGCTCAATGACGAGATAATCTTCATTCGAACGGACCCGTTGCAACAACGTTCCAGCAATGGGACATATAATATAAGTAGAATCGTTGAACCGATCTGAGTACTGGTTCTCGATAGGTTGTGCATAATGCATTCGATAAACGCTGGTAGTGGAGGATGCTTATGCTTGTGTTTTACATTTTCTATATTTTATGGTATCAGAAACCGAGCTCGAGACAGTTCTGCGTAACTACTGACCGAATGTCCGCGGTTTGAACCCAACCATGGCTCTTCCATTGTCGTTATCAAGGGCTTTGGCTGCCTGGCAGTTTCTCAGCCCTCTGAGATGCATGGTGGTTCAGTACCGAAACAACGTCACAGCTAAGCGACTTACGAAATACCCCACGTACTTCTTAAGAGGGAATACAAAAATAGACGTCCCCCTGTTCTTCGGCCGGTTATCCGTCACGTGAAACGGCTAACAGTGCAACCACTGCTGATACAGTATCCCGTCAAAAAAACCAGCTCTCCTCGAGCGAACATAATTGGGATTGCTTGTTAGCGGGTTTCAAACACCAAACGCCCTTACGAAATACCCACGTACTTCTTAAGAGGGAATACAAAAATAGACGTCCCCCTGTTCTTCGGCCGGTTATCCGTCACGTGAAACGGCTAACAGTGCAACCACTGCTGATACAGTATCCCGTCAAAAAAACCAGCTCTCCTCGAGCGAACATAATTGGGATTGCTTGTTAGCGGGTTTCAAACACCAAACGCCCAGAGATCTTTTGTTGATCAATCTCTTGGTGTGGTCCATTCATTGTACATCAGAATATATTCTGGTGGTTTATCTTGTTTATGGCTCTTTTTAGTTTAGCTCGGTTGCACAGGTTATCGCTCGGGTTGACCCACTTGACGAGTCTGGCGACCACAATAAAGCTTAGTCAGTACGTCTAAGTCACGATGTGCAGACTTGTTCCATTTTTCCAGCCTTCACTCTAGGGAAATCAAAATACTCCATTGCGTACAAAAACTGTCTGGCTTTTCCTACCACGAGGACATAATATGATATCGATCGGTGTTTCCTACATTTGCTTCATAGCATGGCGATCGCCTGATGAACATGTTCATCACACCCGGGTTACCACCATTTCGGTGCATTGACACTTCATTGAGTAGTTGGTAGTAGCGCTAGACAGAATTCCATAGGGGTCAGAGTGGACCATTTGGTTCAATCGGAGATTTGACCGGCTTTGTCGAGTGCAGTCCTTGTTCCCCACCAACTATCCTGAGTACGCTACTCAGAAAGACGAGACGGTGGTGAACCTGAAGCGTACTAAACGGAAAACGGTTACCTTTTCTTTCCAAGCAGACTCGAGCTCACGAATCCATGGATCATCCACTATGCTTTGGCCGGAAACCTCTGGCTGGAAAGGCATAGAGACGGGTCTGTCATGCAGAAACAGTGGGATAAGATTGGGAAGTTGTGTGCTGAAGTCCACTTCAAGCACCATTGTTGATACCGTGTCCGCAGCAGAGTTGTGCGTGCCCCCAGTACTCGTGTATTGCGAGTGCAACTCCTCCATGACCTTGCTGTTGAAGTTAGTTGAATGCTCCAGTGATAAGTCTTCCCACATGGATTTAAGTTCACGCAGCTGTCAAAACGTAGAAGCAGAACGAAATCAAAATAAAAGACGACCGCCACTAACAATAAGAATCCATAGACAGTTGGACAGGAGAAATTTTAAGTGATTTGGCTTTATTTCCGTATACAGTGAGGAAACTTGGGATAGGAGAGACTATTTTCCGGCCTGGCTGAATGCGTTGTCTCTAAAGCCCGTTAGAAGAGGTCACCTCTGATCGGACCCTCCGGCCGGTATCTCCGGAGACACAGCTGCATCAAGTTCAGCCGTTTCCCGCACAGCCGAACATGTTTTGTTGTCAGGGCTTTATGGTAGTTAGATAGTAGTTGGCCGACCGGAATGTTCGTATCATTCCGGGCTACGGGATAACTGTCAAACACTACGCTATAAATGAATCAAGATATCCAACAGACTCATGCAAAATTGTGACCTATAGTTCGAACCAACCCCTGATCTTTCTGGGCTTATGCAGCCCAGAAGTATCTCGACCTTCAGGTTGAACGGCAGTTAAGAGCACAAGGTTGCTAGATGTACGAATTTCATACCATCTCGCCAGTTATGGGAAAACGAAATGCCTACAAATAGGAACTAATCGTATGGATATAGGTCCGTCAAACGAGAAACATGGTCTATCGCAGAACATAGCCCACGGTACCTTGTGAGTTTTGAGCAGAGAAAACTGTCTAATTAATTACATTACAAGAGAAGGCAACTTGATGGTATGTAGCAAGATGTAAAGATGTAAAAGATAGTGGTAGCCTTCGGTCTCAAGTCGGCCCGGTATATTCAGACGGATAACTGCAGATCCAAAGGGATGTGTTCCCTCAATCACGTGGCGTGACATCCGTCAGTTGTGCAAACTAACGCGCTCCGCAGTCACATGTAAGTTTTATGCACAATGTGGCCTAGTCCCTTGATTTCTTCCATCTGAAATTTCTTGATCTAGCTGCTGAGAACGCGTAATTCTGCCGCGTTGTGTATCCACCATTGTGTTGTGTATCAACCATTTCGACACTGTCAAATTGATTGAGTTTACCTCTTTAGCATGTTTCTAAATGAAATATGAAGGATTGTGTTTTTTTCTGAGGTCTTTGTGGCTAGTGCTGACCGTTGAGTGACAAACCTAATATGATATCGAACGATATATCGTTTAACTGTAACACCCGGCACCTAGCTGCCATGCTACCCGAAGGAAGGTATCCAACATGCTCCCGGGAAAAATCACGTTCCATTCGTCGGACGGAGAGATGAGACGAGGAAGTGCCCATACTGATCTAACCATATAGGTCTTCCGCAGACTGCATTCAACACACCCATCCGTCCTACTAATGAAGCTACTCTAGTATGACACCCCACTACAGCGAAGGTTCATAACCTCAGGAAATAACCGAGTCAGTCCTACAGCATTTTCCTTGCCGCCAAAGTATCATCCACGTAGCGCCGTAGGCATTAGATCAACTTCAAAACGCACTAGATCGACTTGCTCACTATTTCAGTCTGGACAACAGCAGTTACAATCGGACCCAGTGGAAGAGATATCAATACAGTCCTAATCAGTTTGAGGTGCATGACCGAAATGGGGTCTTGTATGCGTGTTTCTGTAACACAAAATGCTTTGGCAGAGGGAGGAAATTTCCGCGAAAGATTGTCGTTGTGCAAATTGGCAGAGTACGGTCTGGTCTCGTGTTACTGTAACACAAAATGCTTTGGCAGAGGGAGGAAATTTCCGCGAAAGATTGTCGTTGTGCAAATTGGCAGAGTACGGACAATGGAAGTACCATTATTGATAAGGTCTTTCAAGTTTATTAACGGATTATTTTGAGTCGTTTTACTGGATGGTAGTCTGGGCACGGAACAATGGTTAAATCGACTGGTAGATGGATACTAGTTGGAGGGTGGAGAGATGGTGCGAAAAGAGCCACTGAACGAAGAGCTTCAAGGGCGAATGATGCTTCCCGGCTGGGGAATAGGGCTTGTTTGATTAAAACAACCTTGGGCCTTTAAGTCTGACCCAAAAGACAACGGATTGTGAGGTTTCTTGCCCGGGGTAAACAACGTAACAGTCCTATCCGATTGAGGAGGGGGGACGGCCTAGCTCGAGAACTCAGGAGTAAAGCCGTAGATGTCTCACTCCTAATGTTACTGTGCACGGAGATAGTGTTTGAAGCTGCATCGGCCTCTTGGTGGATTTTAATCGTATTTCTACCCTATTGGATGTATCTCTGACGGCCACGGTCAACAGATGGGTGAACGGTCTTCACGACAGACCTTCCCTACGCTGTCTTTCTTTGGCGGAAGGTAGTATAGCCGATTCCATAAATACGGATATGATGGCAGCCTTCGGTTTGGAAACTGCGGCAGCTACAATCACTGTACAACGAGTACGCGGTTATTACAGCTGACAATGATTATTCTAAAAATAATCAGACATATGTACTAGAGTTAACTTGAACTTTAAGGTTAGAAAGTATAGTAAAAATATTCGTCACGAAAAGACTGAACTTTGCCGTGCTGTGACCGTTGGCGTACTTCCGCGACCCATTGATCTATACTGGGGGTGTCCACCAACATTCATAGAGTATCTCATACCAAGTTCGTCAATGGTTAGAGGTCTGCCGAGCAGTCTCCTGGTCCTCCAGGTTAGGGATTGGAACATATGTGACTTGTTCGCTAAAAACCGTAATGTATTTGTATTCCGCGTCAGACACCGTCTTGTACTTAGGCTTTTGAGCCAAAGGCTTTGGTTGAAGATCCTAATCGTCCTCTAGGGCGACATGGCTCAGTGGATGTAGCGCGAATTCACAGATGGGAAGTTCCGCCGTTCGCACCCGAGGTCTGCATCTCGACTTCTCCTGTTAGGCTTGGGCAACAGGGCAATAACAAAGCCTTCGTGCTTCCTTCGCGTGGCATGGCAGCCAAGCACGGAAATGGTACTACGGCTGAACGATTATTCACCGTCCAAGTGTGGATGCCCTGGGGGTTTGCCAGCCCACGAAGAACCACGAATTGCGCAAATACAAATAAACTCACGTCATATCAACCGTCGCGTGGTGCCATCAGCCGGGTCGCCTTACTCGCTGCGAACAGTGGGGCGGGTAAGCGGAAATATGCTACTGCTAACGCCTCCCTTCTTTCTCTTTCACGCACTTCTTCCCCCCCCTCTCCCCACCCCATTAATAACTCTATCCTTATAGGCGCAGCACTTGGGATTGATGACTCTGTTTGTCCTGTATCGGTTTTGCAAGCAACATCAGCGCGCCACCCGGCGCCGACATCCACAGGCATCTCAGAATCAACTTTCAAGCCTCGACGCCAAGTCTATCTGGCCGCCTTCAATGTCCGTACTCTGAAATAATCAGGTCAACAAGCTGCTTTTGCTCTCACACTGGGCTCGTTTGGAATCGATGTGCTGTATATCAGAAACAAGAATTCAGGATGCGGGCACAGTGGTTGAGCTCACGGCCCCATCACTCTACTTGTTTCCGGCTGCTCACTTCTGGCGATCCAGAGGTGTGCATGGGGTGGTATCGTCATAAGCCACCGAGTGGAATGATCCTTGCTCAACTTAAACCTGTTTATAGTCGTCTCTCTGAGGTTCGTTTTGCAACACAAGCGGGGAACTGATCACTGTCCGATGTCGTGTCTGCTTACGCCCCAACTGACTGTAGCTCTGACCCCATCAAAGATGATGTGGCGGACTAAAAGCTCAGATATGATTGCGGATGCCGGAGATGAGAACACAGGCGGACAGGCGTCTGAGAATCAGTTAGATGTTCGACAGGGATTGAACTCGGTACGTACGGACAATGGTGAACGAGTGCATCAGCTACGTGTTGATTGCATGTCGAAATAGCCAAAGTTGTCTGGCTACATGATGTCCTTCAGTAGCGTGCCGGCTACAAACTCAAATCGATCACATTGCTATCAGTTACCGATAGTGCCGATCAACAAATAACTACCGGTCGTTTATGAATCAATTTGTGGATTCCGAACAAGCGCACATCTGGATTCGTTTCTCGCTTCGTTTTCCAGGACCGCGTAAGGTTCGGACAAATCGCTTGTGACAGATCCGGATGTTAGACGAATTTACCAGAATCGTGATAGATGAGGTCAATGCACGAATGTGTAAGGGTCGGGTCGCGTTTACTGATTTGGTACACCTATGGCGTAAAAGCGGTATATCCATGGATCTCAAGAAACGTGTGTAACCGGCTACAGTGCAGGTTGATTTGTGTGGCTGAGACTTGGCAACAAAAGTGAGAGATCTTCAGGCGCTTGACGACTGTTGTCTCAGAACCTTAGTTCGTGTGGGTTGGTGTCGGCGAATCTACAACAAGGAAAGCGAGTATTCGCTTGTACAACGGGAAATTCCGCTGAGGAATTTGTCCAGCATCAGAAGCTGCGTTGGTTAGGCCATGTGCTGCGTGCGCCAACAATATACGGAGCATTGTCTCCAACAAGCTGCAGAGTCGACCGACAAGTATAGATTGGACTGCAGCGAATAGACCGACTCAACGAGAGATGACACTGTCCCTGGGACTTTCTCCGACTGCCGAAGGGAAGAGGTGAGCAAACATGTGTCATGCAGGCAAACAGGAGTATCGGCAAACGGCAGTTAACAGGTAGCAATGGCTTGGGCCACTTATATCCGAGTGACAGTTGATCCATGCCCTTGTGTCAGAAGCCGAACGTCGGATAAACAATATGCACGTCTACAGGCTGGCAGTATGCTGTTGCCTCTCGCAAAATTCCAGTCAATTGTCGGTATAGACGCCTCTTTGCATAATAACTGTAGTGCCGAAAAGGGAATGCCCCAGGAGTAGAGTAAGATAGCGATACAACATGGGCAACTAACTCAGAAAGTCGTAGTGATTTGTGCTGTACGCCTCGAAGATGACGTCAAGAGAAGGTACCTAAGTTTTATCCCCATTACCCTGCTTTTTGCGGATATCACGAAAACTAACCGATGACAGTGAGTACTTCCAGGACCATACTGGTAAACGATAATTAAACACAGATAATAACGAAGTGTGACATGAACTGAGGGGGCCAACTTCTCATGGATTATGAACAATGTTCGTGATAGATGCAGACTACACCAGCAGTATAAAATTGGATGTATTTTAGAGAAGCGAGTGACTGCAAAGATGAATTAACAATCCGACTGAATGCCTACCTGAGGAGAGAACAAAGCACCAAGAACAGCATTCAAGTCATGCCGATCACGAAAAATTGTGTTGGAACATTGTACGACCTCTAACCAAAATTTGAGTGCGCCCAGGCGCTGAGTTGGACCCGACGAGAACAGAACCGTGGCTATCACAAACAAATAGAGAAAACGATCTCTACAAAAGAAAAATTAGAGATAATATTGAGTTCAGACAAGGGCCACTATGCGACCACGCGTAGAGACTGAGAAGCAGAAAGCTATTTGAATGTTTACCATTAAGTAAATACACTACTTATGTGGCGTTCTTCAGAGGTCCTCATTGATTGGTCACTTTGTGATGTCCAACGAACTATCCGACACATCCCCACGGGCAGTGAGATTACTTCTCAAAGAAACAAATAAGTGAATCATACGTTTCAGAAAAGACGCTGACTGTAAGATGAGTTATTGGTCCTTGGTTCAAATGCTACAGGTTCAATGCTACACGATCGCGAGTCATGCTTTGGACCTGGGTAACTGGAATTGATCCATAAAATAGGCAGAACCAATGGACTGAAGCTACATGCACAAGATCAGAACAAGTTTCACAACGTGCGTGGTTCACTAACAGTTTGGAGGGGAGGCTAAGCTGGTTTCCCTAAAGTTTAAGAAAACGTCTTGTCTTAATGGTATCGAAACAAAAGGAAAGATTGAAGGACACCATCCCCGCAGCAAACAGGTTTTGAAGCTAGTCGTTGTCCCAAAAACCACTAGTAAACTCACTGGCAGTAATAAACACACGGCGAAGGTATCTAAAAGTTCTTTGTGCAGTCGAAATGCGGTGCCTAATAAGTGCCTAACACATAAAGGATGATCTGATACGCCTTTCCAAAAACTGGAGATTGTTGCGTTCCTTTGGATCTTTTATCTATCACTCCGGACAGTAGGCAGCAAAGGTAAAAACGTAACATTTTGTCGGTGTTTGAACTTCACCAATGAAATGAGGCGTACCTTATCAAGAGATCCTGTCTAACTGTTCGTGTAAGGAGAACATCCTCTATCCTCCTTAACAAACTTCCCGATAGTTGCGACTCCGAAAACTTCAATGAGCCGGTAACCAGTCGGATTAGCTCCAACGCCAAATGCCCGGCGTAGTTGAATGGCTTAAATGACTGTTGGTTCCATTCTTCATGGCAGAAAAATATGCTCAAACGTTTCCACACTTTATCGTCCAACGCACGTTCGGGTTGGCCTATGAGGACTGCCAGCTCAGCGGGAAAAGGACGGGTCAGGTCATAGTCCGTACAACCATTTGGCTTTACCGATTCCGACGTCAGCTTTACCATGGTTGATGGCGGTTCGCTACGCTCTACAGAATGGTTTGTTAGAGGTGTGTTTGGTGCATCAGACATTTCCACATAGCGAATCTGTTTGCGACTAATTCCAGATACTTTCCTTGCCGTTGGAGATGTAGCTGTAGATGGCGTAGTTCCACCAGCAAACTAAAAATGCATTTAAATTAGACAAAGAGGACACTATAAGCACAATCGGGGTACAATGAAGCATCAATGTTAACACTGATGCGGCTGTCGCTGACGATGATGATTCACAGTTGAGAGATAAAAATTTGACTGTGACTCATTTGCGGAAATCCAGAATTTTCGAAAGAATAATGACTACAAACACTAATTAGTTGGCGATTAGCGTACGACACATTTGCAACCTGAGTGCAATCTATATGTGCTTCCGGTTCCCAACCCGTGGAGCACGTTGCAACCATACAGTTACGACCTATGGTGAAGAACAGTTCAGAGAGAAGAACCTATCTACCGCAGTGCGACATTATACAAAGGGCCTTCACTAAATAGCATGGTACGCGTGCTCAAAATCCGCAGACAGCCCACTACCAGTTCCGCCTTGATCACACTTTTTATGAAATCGGTCGAACAGAGATAATTCGTCTAGTTTCACATTGTTATGACGAGATTAGCTCGTTGCGAAAGAAGTGTAGTCAAAGTCCCATGGAGACAATCACTATAAAATGGGCATACCATTACCCTAAGGTGTTTACAAGTCAATATACGAATGCAGACGATGGCTGGTGGGACTCAGCGACACCACAGTGAATTTTCAATCAATGACCACACAAAGTTATCGACAGATGTGAGTTGTTGGTGTGAAGTAGCGCGGCAGCAGCAGTTTTAACAGGTCTAACTTTAATTGGCAGCAGATGACTATCTGTAATCTGGCAGGCAGCTTGCCCTATGGCCCGATAGGGTAGCACCATTTAACCCATAGCTTACTTCATGATGCTAGAATTTGCCGTTGGTTTTTTGTCCAACAGGATATAGGTGCATGACGAGCACTGAAAAACTGACCAATAATGCCTACTTGCCAAATGCGCTTTGACATCACCATATGGTAATCTATCTGACTGCGGTATCCTACAAGAAACCTTTGAGCGTTAAGACTTGTACTTTTACAACATTGAAATTTCACGAGTTTACTGCACCAGAGAACGTGTGGCCTTTTTGGATGTTGGCAGACTGAAAGAATACAATTTATATTTCTTTTGCTTATTTACTGAGGCTTCGTGTCTGATTTACTTAACAAATTGGCCCTGAAGGCCTAGAATAACTTGGTAGACACCTAACTAGCTTTTATAAGAGGATTAGGGTTACACTTTTCTCCGTCCAATTCTCAGACACACTGGATATCAGAACGTTCATTCGAATAAGTCTCTTTGTACGTTAACACTACATCCCCGGACTTTGAATATGACCACCAATGAATGCCAATGTTGATTGTAGAAAGTTTCGCAACCATTTGTGTAACCGGGTGTGTGGCTCTAAAAAGTTCGTTGGGATGGATGCTACACGCTGCGATTCGTTTCAAACTAGGCACCGTTGACTGTTTTTTATAACGAATCAATCTATGATGCATATCAATGCAACTGATATGCGTTACCTCACTTCACATGTATATGTTCCATACCTCCTTGTGTGATACAAACGGACCTGGAAAGTAAGCCATTGGTTCTTATATCTCATCACGCCGTTATTGTAGCAACAGTTGATGGACGGAGCTGATTTCATATTCGATGCATCAAGGCAAACCTACTGCATTCGATTTCTAGTTTCCACACTGAATCCACACTGAGAGTACTCCCAAAACTATGGCTAGGAGCCAGTTCTGAAACGGTAAACTTGGACGATCTGAACTGCTGACTCCTTGGACCTGTTGGGTGTAAACAAGGTAGGAGTTAACGTAGTAATTAACACAGATCCCACTATTCAGAGGGTTAAATGCGTAAACACTGAGATGAGGATCGGCAAACAATACTTGCTTAACGTGGTTGCACATCAAATTGAATGACATACATGTATATATTTAACGTTAGACAAAACACGAATCGGCATACAGCGAGATACCAAGTGCCACTTGTCCAAATGACAGTGGAGACTGGATGCGCATCATAGTCTATGCTGTTATGAGTAGTTGGAAATAGTCCGGGGAGGTTGCGTAACCTTAGGAGTTACCGCTGTGCGGAAGATGTGGGACTTGAGGGATGGCTGTATATGCCCGCGTTAACATTCAACTAGTGTATTCTTAAAAACCTGACCCGCACGTTGTCATGAATGCATTGCCAGTCAACAATGAGCCCAGAGGAGAGGATGATTGGGGTTCACTGTTTCTCACCTTGGACTGAAGGTATTATTCACCACTGCTCTTTAACGAAAGTCTCGTAGCACGCCACACTTCATAGGAGCAGTACCGGGACTTTTGACCGGTTGGAGTATTTTAAAAGCAGGCAAAAACCATGGAGTATAGAGTTGCTAGTCCCGAATTCCCATCCTAGTAGCCGTAAAATGTGTGCAAAAAAGATGAAAACCACAGCATTCCAATCTGTCCTGCAGTATTTATTAGATACTACCGAGAGGCATTTTGTTTTAAAACGGTTGGCAACGACGCTTTTCCTATGGCTGTGAAGTATTCTCCCACTTATTGTACGGCAATATTTGGCATCTTACAGTCGACAGCTGTGTGCTACGAAGAGCGACGGACAACAAACAAGTGTAAATGAAGCTAAGTTCACGTCAGAATGTAAAATGATTAGATGAAAACAGGGTACTTAAAAAGTCCAACAAAAAAACAATCCAAGTAGGGGTACAGTCATAACTTACCCTTACATCATTTAAAGATGAAGGCAACGGACTGTGTATGCTTCGCTCCATACGGGCTGACATGGAAGAGCTCAAGGTGCTGGAACTAAGAAGACAATTGTCAAAACATTCTGGTTCCATATAAGACTGGCAACGCAAGTCTGTTACACTTGCACCCTTTCGTGGGACTTCACTTTGGGACCCAACCAATTCGAGGTTAAACATTGAGCCCGTCGGTCCGGACGCACTTAGTTGACGCCCCGAAGCTTTAGACACACCTTTGGAGACCGCTTCTGTCTCAGCCTGAAACGGGCGCGAATCAACACCTAGTTTCGAAAATTAAAACTAAAATCAAACGAGATGCCCCATGGACTTACTCAGATGTGGTATAAAACCTGAATAGAGTACAGGACGGCAAATAATAGCTTCAGAATGCCTAGTCATTGGCAATTGGTTGATCCAATGGAAGCGAACAAGTTCGACAATTGATGGTTTAACATACTCACCCAGAGTAAAGTGCAAAGTAGCGGGGTCGACACCAAGTGGTGGAGTACAATTAGTTATCAACATGTGAAAAAAGCGCCCGTTCCACTTTGTGGTCAGCACAAACTCGCCATGCTTGTGCATCGACTCTCGAACTAAGAACTCGCCATTTCGGCGGATTCTGGCTTCCGCGCCCTCTCGGGAAAGAGCGTGATGATACCATGATTGTGAGTCTAACAAGGCCTTCTGTTTGGCGTATGCTTCAGAATTGATGTCCAAAACAGAGACCATGTGTTCGGTTCTTTTATAAGAGTGACAGATGAGAGTCCATGAGGTAGGCAAAGACAGCTTCCCTGAAAATACGGAGAATGCATCAGAGCCCGAAGAAAGATGACAGTGGCACACACTAAAGTTCGGACACGTATGAATGTACCGGACTTAGAGCGTGCTTGTACAACAGTTGTGGATTGAAGATATTGACACTGCTGTCCCGCTCACAAAACTGAAAACTCATTACAACCCGTCCAAACTTTCGTAGTTTCAATTGCGTGCATCACAGCGGATATTTTTAAGGATACCGATCAAACAGACACTGAAAAACAATAGAACACTGCTATCAGTACTCCGAATTTTTGTCACCTTATCTTCAATGGTTTGAAGCCATTATTTAACCAAAACGTGTCCTTCCTCATAGCATACAGTAAATAGTGACCGGATTCGATTGCATAGTTACGGAACCGTTGACTACATCCATAGTTCAGGTCATAACTGTACAAATCTACATTTCGGGTTAAAACCTAAGAAGCAAGAGACCACATCACAATACAGGTCAAGCTGGAAAAAAAGAGTTCGGCTAGTGACTGTGTTGAACCCTACCAGACTAAAGAAAAGCTCTTACACGAAATAACACAAACCTTAGCACGAAGCCCATGGCAAATTCCATTGCGTCATCTTTGCACGACGGCGCTAATCATGCTAACTTGTCAAATACGAGCTAACGGAGCTCCGACTATGGTACCACCAGGATGCGGTGTGTTCTTGGGTATCTTGAAAAAATGCCTCATGAGCTCGATGACGACGCCATGAAAGCTTAGGCGCTACGCCGCCACGAAGCAGTTCCGGGTGTCACTATAACATGGACCCCTGGTCAGTACTTGGTACTACCCAATAGACGTACGAAACCTAAGACGGTCACTGACAACCATGAAACTTTGCTGCCCTGTGGGCTGCGGTTGAATAGCCGAGGGCTGGAGGAGCGAACTGCAGTGAAAACCAAATCTATTGAATTTGACGGAAAAGAAGACCCAGAAGCCTTTCTGACGATTATGTTCTCCACACCTTGCTGACTCACAGGCTGTTCTTAGCTGTGCAAGGGTCACACATGCACCTTTGGGCAAAGGCCTGTGGCGCTAGGGTCGTCGCCTATATACAAGTCTCGATCTTGTCCCACGATTAGGCCCCCGATGAAAAGCTCCGTTAACGCTAGTACCCCTGCTAACCGACACTCCTACCATTGGCCCGGTAAGAGTATGCGAATTGGGTCTCCCTCACGTTACCTGAAAATCAGGAACGCGCTGTACATAAACCGATGGAGTATCCGTACCCTCCTTGAAATTGGAATTCAGTCTCAAAGTACGAAGCCGGTTTGATTACAAAGTTGACACATCCATCCAAGGTGGCATTTAATCATCTGGTATTTTAGTGACAGTGGCACTGTTCTCCCAAATAAACTACGTTCCTGTGAAAGTCTGATGTGTGTCGTTCTACAGCCCTGTAGTGGAGGAAAAACCGGAAACCAATGGGGTTCAGACCACACCTTAGTGTATGTGTAAAATCCCACTTTACCGATTGGCACAAACCAATCTACAAAGAAATATCACCACCCATCTTGAAGAGCCTGCAAAGTTTTTTAAACTCTCGGATGCCATCACCGATCAGCTTAACACCAAGCTTCCTCGAATTCAACCAACCTCCGCTGGAGAGTTCTGGTGCCAACTAAAAAGATCCACACATAAAACTGCCGCAGGAAAAAAGCGTTCAGCTGTAGCACCCTTCCGGTGCCTAGCTGCCATGTCACCCGAAAAAAGCACGAGGGCTGGGATACCGCCAGGTTGCCCAGGTAGCGGAGGTCGGATTCGAACCACAAACCTTCCGGTCACTAAATTCGCGCTCTAACCACTTGGGCCATCTCGCCCCCAAAACTACCGCATCGAATCCTGGATTCACATCGCGGCACCACAAAACCGGATCTCCAAATGAACAACCCATCCCTCTCAGCAACCTAACTAGGTGCACATGGCTTATTTCTCCAAGTCACCCTCTCAACCCATAAACATCGTGCGGACTGCTGATCAGAAATGGCTGCAGCTGCCAACGTTGGTGATTCACGGATTCATACACAGGATCGAGGCTTCTGCCTAAGTTTCCCGGGTCGCTTTTGTTCTTGTCGGTCAGTGACTGTCGTTCACCTGGAAGGCACAAGTGAAAAAAGGGTGTAGCACTGCACTTTATGTTCTCAGCGCGGGGCAGTATGCTTGCCAGCGCCAGGAATCGCATAAATGTCTAATAGTGCTTTAAACTGGGTCCTAGAAGGAACGTGAACAACCGTCGGAGGAAGATCATTCCACGCAGCTACTACCCGAAACGAGAAAAATTTCGTCTAATGAATGTGTGTGTTCTGAGCTTGGAAGTTTTCTCACTATGCCCCTGCCGGGTGTTTGCTGGGTCAACGGTAAAAAACCTGTTTGCCAAGACTTATTCAAACAGGGTATAAGTAAGAATTAGGTACCCTCGGAGGCGATGGTACTCCAGAGGAAAGAGATCAAGCATCGCGAGACGCGTTTCATAGTCCACGGATTTGAGGCCGACAACCATTTTCGTGGCGGCTCGCTGGACACGCTCAATGAGGGTGACGTCTTTCGTGCGGCCTGAGTAGACAACTTGGTTGGCGTATTCCAGGAGCGGTCTGACGTAGGCCTCATACAGTATTTGGAAGTCCATGCGAGTAATACGGGAGAAGGCACGTCGGATTAGCCGTAAAATGGCGAGTGACTTTTGGGCCGATTTCTCATGGTGCAGTGAGAAGGACAAGTTTGAGGAGACCCAAATGCCCAAATCCTTTTTGGCATCTATCCTCATGATGTTTTCTGGTCTCTTTTCACCGTGCATAACAAGGCATTCGCTGAGTCTCCTCCAAACGACATATGGACGCACTTCTCATCATCCAGAGGAAGGTGCCAGTCCAACGACCACTGCTCGGTAGTGTCTACATCCATTTGGAGGGCACTGGCAGTGGAACTCCAGGATTTCAAGTCGTCCGCAAAAAGTAGACATGGACTCGCAAGAACATCTGGGAGGTCGTTGACGTGGACCAGAAACAGCACTGGTCCCAGTACGGAGCCTTGAGGAACTCCAATGGAGACCGGCGCTGGAGAGGCGTAGGTCGAGCCTATTCTCACTCGGAATGATCTGTCTGATAGGAACGCCTTGATCCAGCAAAGGATTTTCCATTGAATCCCGTAAGACTCGAGTTTGTGGAGCAGCGGGACGTGTGGGACCCTATCAAATGCTTTTGAGAAGTCGAAAAATATGGCACACCTTTCTCGGTTCAGCTTTCGCGCTTCGGAGATTGTTTTTGAGGCGCTCATTGTTAACTGATGATAGGCAACGAGGAAATGGCGGTGGACTGAACGCCTCAACGCACTATTTAATCACCCATCCAACTACCAATCACCCACTAAGAACCACACCTTTCGGGCCACAGACCATCAACTGCGATGTCTCATGCTAAGGTTAATTCGCCGGGAAAAAAACAAACTGCTTAAGAACAAAACGCTTTCAGTTGGAGATGACATTCCAGCGGAAATCTATAAAGCCTACATGTCCGTGGTCTTCGAGCCTCGTCACAAGCTGTTCTGCACAACATGGGAAGGTCACGGTGAATTCGGGTATCCGTATCACTACACGGCGAGATGGCTCAAGTGGTTAGAACGTGAATTTACTGACCGGAAGATCTGTGGCTTCAACCCGACCTGTCTCTCGGCTTCCCCTGTCTAGGCATGGGCAACCTGGCAGTATCTCAGCCCTCGTGCTTCCTTCGGGTTGCATGGCAGCTAAACGCCGAAAGGGTGTTACAGCTGAACGATTTAGCTATTATTACCACTACACCGCTACCCAAATTCTACAGGCAGCCGGACGGCCTGTGAGATCCACCAGGAAAACATCGCCAAAAGCTATAGCAACAAACCACCACTCGTTTCATTGAATTGCATGTAGCGTTTCAGCCAATAGAGAAAGCCTTTAGTCTGGCTTGGAAACAGATGGCGTGCGTGACCAAATCACCCAGTTGACAAAATTTCGTTACGGTAGTAGTCAGGATAGTACGCCAAATACCATTCAAGTTGTTGCAGGTCCCGACCTCACTCTGATTTCAAAATAAACCTCGAACGTAATTGGAAGGCCACCAGGTGAACACTACCGTTCTTATTGCGTACAGTGAAAGCCACAAACTGACCGGGAAGTTGAACTGCCATGGGATTCAGTTTAACGGAAATTGCTGCATAAACTGTACATGTCTCCATCTCTTGAGCTAATATTAGACCGATAATCTTTATTTCATGGAGGGCCCTCGACGCCATTTGTAACCAAACTGCACACGGCAGCCATATGTTCACGGGAACACTGCATTCTGATGACGAATGATTCGTAGAGCACGCGGCGCAAATGGGCTCGTCAAACGGGCTCCACAATGAAGCAGAGGACGGACTTCACGTGCCTCGAGGCACGTATCCCTGGTGGGAAGCTCAGCCAGACCCATCTGTTTCAGGCTCTAGTCGATGTGCGACGTAAGCTCAACGGCATATCACGAGTCAAATAAACAGTGGTCGGAGGAACAGCGTAATCAAAGCCGACATGCATGGAGGCAAGCCGCTCCACATAATCGAACACCACATCAACTGGACGGTGTCGTCGCGCCTGGCCACAGGATGACCAAAGCCATATCCTGATTGGTCGATGCCAACCACTCAGGACCACGAACTCACGATCGATACAAAGGGCCGAGGCTTTCGTTCAAGTTTCCGGGTGAGTTTTGTTCTTGTCGTTGAGCGAATGCCGTTCACCTGAAACGCACAAGTGAAAAAAGGGTGTAGCAGTGCTATTTACGTTCTCAGCACGTGGCAAGAAGCTCGCCAGTGCAAGAACTCGCATAAAAATATTCAAGAGTGCTCAGAACTGGGCGTTAGATAGAGCGTGGACAACCGTCGGTGGAGGGTTATTCCACGTACTCTGATTGGCGCGGTACGTTCAAAAGCGGTTTCGTCTTTCCCTCGTGCAAATTCGTGAAAAAAGTTTCGTTGTTCAACCTATTCACAGAGTACACACGAGTAATTGTTGAATTTTATTACTCTAGCAAAACATTTGAGAGTTAACCCTTTATATTTTGCGCACACTTCCTATTTTACATCTAGTCCTAAACAGGATATCAATTTAAACCGATTGCTCTCTG